TCGCGTCCTGTCTACTTCCGGGGAGTCCGTGGGGAGCCCCCCTGCTGCTCAGGTGGACGTACTGGCGCCCGAGCTGGTAAACGAAGGTTGCTTCACTGCCGGGAGTGCCGTCATACATGCAACCCGTGGACCACGCACTAGACATCGAGCGGGGGACGGGAGATTCCCATGCTCCGGCGAGCTTTTGCGAAGTCCGTAGTGGCGGGTCGTTGACGTACGATTGGTTCAGTCCGCAGGCCTTCTGAAGGAGTCAGTTGGTTGAACAAGGAAGGCGTGAGCTATTGTACCCGTCTCAGTTCGGTAGTCTTGTGCCTTTTCTGCATCCGCTACAAAGGTGGTACCTAGTGGACCTGTACGATGGTTGCCTCGGGAGTGTGCAACACCGGGAAGGCGTCTCAGGCAGGCCCTTGAGCCCATGGCGTGTGCGTTGGCTCCAGTCTTGTAGGATCGGGCGAGAATCGGAGCAGGAGGTGGCCATATCCAACCGCCGACATCAGGTACAGAAGTGTTTTTGTTTCTCGTGTACTTTGCACACCGGAAGAGCTGGGGAGGTAGAGCAACTCCATCGTGTTGAAGGGTGAGCGGGACATACTCCGTGCCTGACATCCAGTGGCGTGCCCTTGCTCCCATGCATACATACTTACATACTTTTCTCCACCGATGTGTGCTAGGGGTTATTATAACTCTGCCGGTTGTTCCGTCGCTCCCTTCAACACACGGAGAGCACACAGCAAACCATTCCGAAATTCTTCAACACCGGTAAAAACCAATTCTGAACACACAACTCCTAAAAAGATGCTAAATAACTCCAAGTCAACGTTAATGAAAACAAAAACCAACGAACATTGCGCAGCCAACGTCGCAGGGAAGTCGGGGGTGGAAAGGCGCCCGATCTGTGCAGCGGTAACGCGGGCCGACCCGTGGACCAAGTGTGTTTCGTCCAGCCCTCCCTTTCCCTCGTCCGCCGTGAAGCCGAAAGTGTGTTTGCTCACGACCTAAATCGCTTTCCACTACAGGTTGCTGGAAGTATATCCCGGGGAAAAAAAAAACTCCGAAGAGAGAATCCACCCCACAACCTGACCGTTGGGGAGTCGTGCAGATTGTCCACTAGACCACCACTAGACGCCCAGAGGGCGGTATGACTGGATGCTATGCATATAGAACGGGGGGGGGGAGGTAACCCTCTTTCGCGCCAACGGGAACTGGGTATGCGGGTGTGGGCAGGCAGGAGGCGCAGCCGATAACTTGCCAGAATTCGCAAGGACCACGGAGTTAAACTATTTCTCTTGGCATTTCGGTGATTAACTCAAGTCACACGACCACTCTCACCCACATCACTCTCTCTTCTCACTCGTTCATCCATTCTCTCACTCTCCCTCTCTCCCTCCCCCTGTCGCTCATTCACCCATTCCCTCTCTCTCTCTCACCCCCCCCCCCCCCCCCACCCCGACTCCTTCCCTCACCTTAAAGCCAAAAAAGTCCAAAGAAAAGTCTCTCTCGTGCTTCACCTCTGCGTCGATCAAATCGCGATTCTTCATCACGATTTCGTGTACCTGTGTTTTTGCAGACGGGTCAGGATGGGTGGAGAGGTCAAGGGCTCCTCCAAAATGGGGAACTGAACCGGCGGAAATGCATTTCGGGAACAACGAAGATATCACGCAATTGAAGCGGGGGGAAGAGAAGCACCAACGCTACTACAAGCACCAGCAGCCACACCAGCAGTGGTGTAACGCTTCTCGGAAAGCCCGGGCTTTGTGTAGCCTACACCAAACCGAACAAGGTCAAAACCTATCCCACGACCAAACAAATAGTTAACCGCCTTTCATGTAGTCGTTGTCAAATAAACCAGCATTCTCACCCAAGCGATGGTTACTGCCCTGGGTTACTCTGACTGCTGTATGCCACCAGTAGCAGCAGCAACACCATCAACAGAGAGCAACAGCAACCAGCAGCAGCAGCAGCAGCAGCAATGGTCGCATGGGCAGCAGCCAAAACAAAGGACGGCGTACAACCATAAGCTGTAAGCTGTGGACCCGCCCCCCTACCTTGTCGCTGATCTACCCCGCCTGCCGGCACGACGCAGCCCCCCCCCCCCCCCCCCCGGT